GGAGGGTAGGTAAACACTTTGTTACTTCCTGTAGGCTTGAAAAACATTAGGATCAAAATGTATTTGATAAAGCATGATACAGGCCAGGTGCCGTGGCTCCGGCACTTTTGGAGCCCAGGAGTTGAAGGCTGCAGTGAGCTGTGACCACACGACTGCACTCCAGCCTGGGTGACAGAGGGAGACCCTGTCTCAAAAAAATGTCTTTTTAAATCGTTATTTTAACAAAACATTCTATGGCCCAAACACCTGTTCATAGGATCAGGCTGCACCTTTTGCAGAGGAGGGAAACTGAGGCCCAGATGATGACAGCCAGAGCTTCTGTCTGTGGGGTGGGGCCCTTCCCCTGCCCCTCCTCTGTGGCCCCATGGGCAGGTGCCCACTGGCAACTCACCAGGACCACCAGCTTGTTCATCAGCAGGTCTAGCTTGGTTCTCTTCAAGTGGATCTTGCCACAGTTCTTCATGATCTTTGTGTCAAAGCCTGTGGGGTTTGCAACCATCCATCCACCACCCACCCATCTATCCTCCTGCCCATCCATCCACCCATCCATCTATCTACCCACACATCCATCCATCCGCTCACCCAGCCAGGTACCCATCCATCCTCCTGTCCATCTATCCACCCGCCCACCCATCTATCCTCCTACCCATCTGTCCACTCATCATCCACCAATCCATCCACCCATCCATCCATCCACTCACCCACCCACCCATTCTTCCATCTGTACATAAGCACCCCATTTCTTTCCAGCCGAAACAAAGGTACTGGCTCAACACATCCATTTTAAGTTCAGCACCAGGCTGCAGGGAAGCCAGGAGCCCCGCGTCACTGGGCAGATCTGCGGCAGCCTGGTCTGGGTTTGCGGCTCCTCACCCTCCACTTTAGGGCTCTCACCCTCCGCACCCCCCACCCCCACCCCCACCTGCATGGCTCGTGCTGCAGGGGCTCTGGAGTGGTCGTACCGGCATAGATGACCATTCCATAGCAGGTGTCCGTGTTGCGGATCTTGCAGCCGCGGAGGAGGAGGTTGCCAATGTCCAGGGGGTACATCTTGCCACTCCACTCCAAGCGCCCCACGAATTGGTGCATTCTGCTGTTCGGCTCCTCACACATCACCCGGCCTGTGGGCAGTGGGGCAGCCAGCGGGCCAGTGTCGTCGCTGGGCTTGGACCCACATCCCAGCTGGGCTCCCTGCCACCACCCCCTCTAATCAGTGCAGGCGGGGACATACCTGTCACGCTCCAGCCCCAGACACCTTCATGGGCCCCTCCGTGCCCCAAAGTGACCCCTGTTCCCTCTGCCCAGACGCACACTTCCCTGATCCTCCAGCCAGATCAGCCCCCACCCAGCCCCCTCCCTTGTGGTCCTGATCCTAGGACGTGGCTATTTGTGTGACTGTGTCAGTAATGTCTGTGGGCTCTGTGAGAGCAGGCGCCAGCCTTGTCTTGGCAACACTTGACTTGAGGGCACGGCACAGCACCTGGCACGTGGTAGGTGCTCAATAAGTGTGTGAAGAGGGAAGGAGAGAAGGGACGCCCACTTGGGGGTGGGCTCCCCGGCACCCTGCCGCTACTGTCCATGATCACCCAGTTCCCCATCGCCCTGCAACAGGGCATTGTCAGCCATGCTTCTTTGAGGAAGCAGGCTCAGGGTGCAAAGACCTGGCCCAGGGCAGTTCTCGGTGAGCGCTAACATGACCGTGGGGTGTGGGCTGGGACCCCAGAAGGAGGAGGGGACAAAGGGTTCTTGAATGGTCCTTGCCTGCCTGCCCCAGTCCACCATAGGAATTGGGAACCTGACTTAGTCCTGAGTGTAGGAATCGGAAACGTCTAGGCTGGTATGGGTGGAGCTCTGACCCTCAGTCTCCTCCTCCGAGAAATGGGGTTCTACCCCGCAGGAGTGCTGAGGCAGCTGGGCCAGGCCAGGGCCTAGGGAGAGCCTCCTTGCCAAGCACCCTGGCTGGGGTCTTCCTGATCCAGTGGGAAGTGCCTCTCTCTCTGATCCTGCCCCTTCATGGGGTCACATGGCAGGGACCAAGTTCTGGGGCTACCAGGACAATTAGAAGAGAGGATGGCT